CAATCTCCACTCACTGCAACCTATGCCTCCAGGGTTCAAGCGATTCTCCTGCCTCAGCCTCCTGAGTAGCTGGGACTACAGGCGTGTGCCACCACACCCGGCTAATTTTTGTATATATTTTTTAAAGTTTTACTCTTGATGCCCAGGCTGGAGTGCAATGGTGCGATCTTGGCTCACCACAACTTCCCCCTCCCAGGTTCAAGTGATTCTCCAGCCTCAGCCTCCCAAGTAGCTGGGATTACAGGCATATGCCACCACGCCCGGCTAATTTTGTATTTTTAGTAGAGATGGAATTTCTCCATGTTGGTCAAGCTAGTCTTGAACTTCCAACCTCAGGTGATCTTCCCGCCTTGGCCTCTCCAAGTGCTGGGATTATAGGTGTAAGCCACCGTGCCTGGCCTAATTTTTGTATTTTTAGTAGAGACGGGGTTTCACTATGTTGGTCAGGCTGGTCTCAAACTCCTGACCTTGTGATCTGCCCACCTTGGCCTCCCAAAGTGCTGGGATTACAGGCATGAGCCATCGCACCTGACTGGAAACTTTCATTTTATTTTATTTTATTTATTTATTTTTTACCTCCCTCTCCCTCCTAGAAACTTATTTTTTAAAATTCACATGTTTGAACCCACCTTACCATTCCAGATCTCCACAGGAATGAACAAAGGAATACAAATAATTTGAGATGGCCAGGCATGGTGGCTCACACCTGTAATCTTAGCACTTTGGGAGGTCGAGGCGGGCGGATCACCTGAGGTCAGGAGTTTGAGACCAGCCTGGCCAATGTGGCGAAACCCCATCTCTACTAAAAATACAAAAATTAGCTGGGTGTGGTGGTGGGTACCTATAATCCCAGCTACCCGGGAGGCTGAGGCAGGAGAATCCCTTGAACCCAGGAGGGGGAGGTTGCAGTAAGCCGAGATCACACCACTTCTCTCCAGCCTGGGTGAAAGAGCGAAACTCTGTCTCAAACAAACAAACAAAATCCCAAATAATTGGAGTCTACCATTTTGGATCGTTTGTGCTTATCCTTTGTTCCTGCAGCATAGAGTTGTTCCCTCTTCAGGTTGTCTGTGACCCCAAAACATTATTCATATTCATCATAACAATATTAATGGATCCACTAAATTTGCATTCTTCTAAGGATGCAAGGGATCTAAGCATGAAAACAGCTACCATGTAGGTCAGGTGTGGTGGCTCACACCTGTAATCCCAGCACTTTGGGAGGCCAAGGCAGAAGGATCACTTGAGCCCAGGAGTTCGAGACCAGCCTAGGCAACCTAGCAAGACCTCCCCCACCCCAGCTCTACAAAAACAAAAACAAAAACAAAATCAGCCAGTGCAGTAGTTTGCATCTATAGTCTCAGCTACTTGGGAGGCTATGCTGGGAGGATTGCTTGAGCCTGAGAGATTGAGACTACAGTAAGCCAAGATCACGCCACTGCACTCCAGCCTGGGCAACAGAGCCAGACCCTGTCTAAAAAAAAAAAGAAAGAAAAAAAATGAGGCAGGAGAGGCTGGGCATGGTGGCTCACACCTGCAAGCCCAGCACTTTGGGAGGCCAAGGTGAGTGGATCACTTGAGGTCAGGAGTTCGAGACCAGCCTGGCCAACATGGTGAAACCCTGTCTCTACTAAAAATACAAAAATTAGCTGTGCGTGGTGGCAGGCACCTGCAATCCCAGCTACTTGGGAGGCTGAGGCAGGAGAATCACTTGAACCCGGGAGGCAGAGGTTGCAGTTAGCCTAGATCGCACCACAGTGCTCCAGTCTGGGCAACACAGCAAGACTGTCAAAAATAAAAAAAGAAAGAAAAAAAAGGAAGTAGTTCACTACTTTGTGGGGGTCCTCTATCTGCCTGGGACTGTGCTAAATGCCATGCATACCTGATCTCATGTACTTCTAATAAATATCCTGTAGGATGGGTGCTGTTATCCTCATTTTACAGAACCAGGTCACAGGGCACCAAGAAATTGCTTAATGTGAAACCTGGCTTCTCTGTGCTTTCCTCACCAGATCATGCTTTAAAGAAAAAATACTTGGTGGGACACAGTGGGTCACACCTATAATCCCAGCACTTTGGGAAGTCGAGGAGGGCAGATCACTTGAGGTCAGGAGTTCAAGACCAGCCTGGCTAACATGGTGAAACTCTGTCTCTACTAAAAATACAAAAATTAGTGGGGTGTGGTGGTTCTTGCCTGTAATCCCAGTTACTCAAGAGGCTGAGGCAGGAGAATCTCTTCAACCCAGGAGGCAGAGGTTGCAGTGAGCCGAGATTGCGCCACTGCACTCCAGTCTGGGTGACAGAGTGAGGCCCCATCTCAAAAAAAAAAAAGAAAAGAAAAAGAAAAAGAAAAGAAAAAAAAAAGGCTTGACAATTTCTCTCACCTGAGACACAGCTCTCATACAAGGGTGAAGATTGTAGGCAAAGGACATGGATTCTGTTGATCAATTGTTTTATTTTTAATAATACAAAAATTAGCCAGGCATGGTGATGGGCACCTGTAATCCCAGCTCCTCAGGAGGCTGAATCACTTGAACCTGAGAGGTGGAGGTTGCAGTGAGCTGAGATCATGCCACTGCACTCCAGCCTGGGCAACGGAGCAAGTCTCCATTTCAAAAAAAATTATTTTTAATAATAACAATTATTCAAGGCCTTGATCTTTCAAATTTTGGGAGTATAGGCATGATACACTATGTTTGGCTCACACTGATTTATAATTAGTTCTGACCGTGTTTGTTTCTCAACCCATAATGAGGAAAATGTATTCCCAAAGATGCTTAGTGAATTTGGGCTCAGTTGAATGCTAAGTCAGGAACCTAGGCTAATTTCCCAGCCCGAACTGTAGTTTGGAACAAGTTGACCCAGATATACCTCAAATCTTGTTAGCTTTCCTGGGTGTCTCTTGGACTTCTCATTACATGTCATTACAACAGGCTTCTTACCTTGCCCAGTTTAGCTTTGTGGTACTTTTGCTTGCCATTGTTTATGGCAACCAAATGGCTTGTTAAAATGCCTCTCTGCCAAGGTAGAAGGATCGCCTGAGACCAGGAGTTCCAGAGCCAGCCTGGGCAACATAGTGAGAGCCCATCTCTACCAAAAAAAAAAAAAAAATTAAAAATATTAGCTGGGGCTGGGCGCGGTGACTCACACTTGTAATCCTAGCACTTTGGGAGGCCAAGGTGGGTGGATCATGAGGACAAGAGATTGAGACCATCCTGGCTAACATGATGAAACCCGGTTTCTACTAAAAATACCAAAATTAGGTGGGCATGGTGGCACACACCTGTAGTCCCAGCTACTCAGGAGGTTGAGGCAGGAAAATCATGTGAGCCTGGGAGGCAGAGTTTGCAGTGAGCTGAGATTGCGCCACTGCACTCCAGCCTGGCGACAGAGCGAGACTCCGACTGAAAAAAAAAAATTGCCAGACATGGTGGCACACATCTGTAGTCCCAGCTATTCATAAGGCTTTGGCAGGAGAATGGCTTGAGCCAGGGAGGTCAGGCTGCAGTGAGCTGTGATCATGCCACTGCACTCTGGACTGGGCAATATAGCAAGACCCTCATTTTAAAAATAACTTTTTAAAATGCCTTACTGCCACAATGGCATTTAGAGACAAAAAAATGAGTAACCAGGGAGGATATATATGCATATATGTATGTCTCTGCGTGTGTGTGTGTATGTATACATATACCTATATCTCTCTCTATAATCCCATGTTGCCTCAGCACATCTGGTCTTTCCACGTTGTTCAAATAAACAGGACTGACAAATTTCCACCAGTGAAAATCTCTACAAGCCTAAGAATAAATTTAGCTGATCTCTAAGCTGTTTACACATTACCAGATTGATTCTGTGTTTTCTGGCAAATGTTCCATTGAAGATTCTACTCTGTAAAATGTTTAAATTATTGGCCTAAATACTGCATAAAGACATTTTCATCCTATTTTTTTTTTTTATCAAGGGGATAGCTTGAAAAACAATGATAATTCTGCAACATGTGCACTGCAGTGCTCAAGGATAGCATCCAATGTGCACTGAAAGGAAAAAATAGCTTTCAAAAAAAGGAAGTGAGCTTTTTAATGTCAATGATAAATGTGGCAAAATATAATGCTGCCAAAATAAGGGAAACTAAAGGATTGTGATTTTTTTTTTTTGAGACAGGGTCTCACTCTGTTGTCCAGACTGGAGTGCAGTGGTGTCATAATACCTCATTGCAGCCTTGAACTCCTGGGCTCAAGCGTTTCTCCCACCTCAGCTTCCTGGGTAGCTGGGACCACAGGCATGCACCACCATGCCTGGCCAGTTTTTTTCATTTTTTGTAGAGACAGGATTTCGCTATGTTGCCCAGTCTGGTCTTTAACTCCTGGGCTCAAAGGATGCACCCGCCTCGGCTTCCCAAATGCTATGATTACAGGTATGGGCCACTGCAACCAGCCTACTTTATTTATTCATTTATTTAAAAAATGCTAATCTCAGCACTTTGGGAGGCCGAGTCGGGTGGCTCACCTGAGGTCAGGACTTTGAGACCAGCCTGGTCACATGGTGAAACCCCGTGTCTACTAAAAATACAAAAAATTAGTTGGGCTAGGTGGCAGGAGCCTGTAATTCCAGCTACTCAGGAGGCTGAGCCTGGGGAAATCACTTGAACCCGGGAGGCGGAGGTTGCAGTGAGCCGAGATCACCCCATTGCACTTCAGCCTAGGCAACAAGAGCGAAACTTCATCTCAAAAAATAAAAAAAGATTTAGCACTGCAACCATTTTTAACTTTACAGTCCAGCGGCGTTAAATACATTTACTTTGTCTGCAACCATAGCTACCGTTCACTGCTTCCCTTTGTCCTCATTTTCAGGCTCACCAGTAGGGGGCGGACGGAGACAGTGCATCAGCCTCGACCCCCACGTCCCCTCTCCCGCGCATGCGCGTCCTACCTGCCAAAAAAGGTGGCGGGGGCGTGCTCAGGGGCGGGGCCTGTGGGCTGCGCAGGCGCGTGGCTGGCTTTGTGACGTCAGGCCGTGCGGCCGGTCTGGGACCAGGCGGCGGCTCGCGGAGGCGCTTACCCTAGCGTGACGCGAGGACTCCGCTCCCCCGCGGCCCGCCCGCCTGCCGGCCTAGCCGCCGCCTCCTTCGCTCCCTGAGCGCGCCAGGCGAGGGCCAGCGGCTGGGGCGACGCGGAGCGGAGAGGGCGGGCAGGCGGGCGGGCGGGCTGTGGAAGCGCCGGTCTCTATATGGCGGCGGCTCTGTCGGGCCTGGCTGTCCGGCTCTCGCGCTCGGCCGCCGCCCGCTCCTATGGGGTCTTCTGCAAGGGGCTGACTCGTACACTGCTCATCTTCTTCGACCTGGCCTGGCGGCTGCGCATCAACTTCCCCTACCTCTACATCGTGGCTTCCATGATGCTCAACGTCCGCCTGCAGGTGGGTGATTCGTGCCCGCCCGGCCTCCGGCCCTCCCCGAGCGCCCCCCTCACCAGCGGGATGCAGAAGCTACGGCAGCTGCCACTGCCTGGAAGCTGAGTGTATGCCAAGCACCGTGCATTTTCCCGTGCGACACCACTTTGGGGGGACCCACTGAGGTGGTGTCGTTGTCCCCGATCTGCAAACGCGGTACTGGGGGTCAGGTGAAGCGACTTGTCTTGGGGAAAGTCCCGCAGCTCGGGAGGTGGGGTCCGAGATTGCATGGGCTGGAAAGGTCTTGATGAGGACTTTTACTAAATGTTGGGTGAATTTTCTAGTTCCCAAACTTTGCAAACCCGCCCCCCCTCTTTTTTTTTTTTTAAACTGTAAAGGAGTCTCTGCCGGGCGTGTCTCACACCTGTAATTCCAGCACTTTGGGAGCCCGAGGCGGACGGATCACCTGAGGTCAGGAGTTCGAGACCAGCTTGCCCAACACGGAGAAGCCCTGTCTCAAAATACAGAATTAGCCGGGTGTGGTGGGACACGTCTGTAATCCCAACTACTCGAGAGGCTGAGGCGGGAGAATTGCTTGAACCCGGGAAACAGAGGTTGCAGTGCGCCGAGATCTGTCTTTGCACTCCAGCCTCGTCAACAAGAGCGAAACTCCGTCTCAAAAAAAAAAAAAAAAAAGACAGGGGTCTCGCTGTGTTGCCCAGGCTGGTCTTGAACTCCTGGCCTTAAGCGATCCTCACGTCTCGGCCTCCCAGTGCTGGGATTACAGGCATGAGTCACTGCGCCTGGCCTGCAAAGACGTTTTATGTTATCCTTGAAGCTTAAAATGGATTGGAAGTTAACGGTGTTTTGATAAACTTACCTTATTTATTTTTGCCAGAGGTAGAAGTGAGGTGTGAGGGTGAAGACGAGGGAAAATAAAGTGGAAGAGGTGGAAGGGTGGAAGCACAAAACGTTTCAGAAGCCTGGAACCATTCAGCTGAACTTAGGCTATGCTCACACTCCAGCACCCTGGAGACTGCCTTTTCTATAAAAGATTGATATTTCGGGTTTTTTTTGTTTTTTGTTTGTTTGGAGACAGAGCCTTTGTTGCCCAGGGTGGTGTGTAGTGGCTCAATCTTGGCTCATTGCAACCTCCGCCTCCTGAGTTCAAGCCATTCGCCTGACCCAGCCTTTTGAGTAACAGTGACTGCCACCATGCCCGGCTAATTTTTGTATTTTTAGTAGAGTCGGGGTTTCACCATGTTGGCCAGGCTGGTTCTCAAACTCCTGACCTCAAATGATCTGCCCACTTTGGCCTCCCCAAGTGCTGGGAGTACAGGCGTGAACCATGGTGCCCATCCAAGACTGATACTTCTACAAACGTTGAATTTCAGTTGCCTTTTTCTTTTTGGTAGAGACAGGGTCTCACTATGTTGCCTAGGGTGGTCTTGAACTTCTGGCCTCAAGCGATCCCCCTGCTTTACCCTTCCAAAGCACTAGGATTGCAGGCAGAACCCAGTGAGCCGGGCTTCAGATGCCTTTTGACCACATTTCCTTCAGTGGAAGGAAATGTGGTCAACTCAAGAATTCTTTCTGAAGGAAAGGTGGCCAGGTACTGAGCCCCTCTTGCATTCTATTTGCATACCTCTGTGATGGAGGAGGGACCCTCCCTTGGGGACAGTCCGAGGTACTTGGGTTTCTCCCTGTGTGCAGAATGAACCTGTCTGAGCAGTAGTACCAGCCAGTTATGAGACGTGGCAGGTGCCTTCCCTCTCTAAAGTTGGTTTGGTCGTATCAAAGTATGATTGTCCCAGTAGCAGGTCTTCAGGTATTTAGTGCCTGACACAGGTGTTGGTAGTTAACATGAAACCTACCTCTGGCTGTTGATCAAAATTGAATTAAGGTGGCCAGGTGCAGTGGCTCACACTTGTAATCCCAACTCTTGGGGAGGCCAAGGCAGGTGGGTCACGAGCTCAGGAGTTTGATACCAGCCTGGCCAACATGGTGAAATCCTGTCTCTACTAAAATATAAAAAATTAGCTGGGAGTGGCGGTCAGGCAGTGATGGCATGCGCCTGTAGTCCCAGCTAGTTAGGGGGCTGATGTGGGAGGATCGCTTGAGCCTGGGTGGCAGAAGTTGCAGTGAGCCGAGATTGTGCCACACAGCACTGCACTCCAGCCTGGGTGACAGTGAGATCCTGTTTAAAAAAAAAAAAGTGTTGATATGAACTGGCTTCTTTATTTTGAGGTCCAAATTGAGATACTTTCATGTGAGCAAGGACTTGTGGCATCCTCAAGTGGTACCCGACTAGAGTCGTCACAACCTCCATCAGGTGGTTTGAATTGTGTGAAGGGTGCTAAGGATGCTGCTGAATCAGGTCAGGTACTGGTAAACCAAATCCTTTGCCTTTCCCAGTCACCACCTTCAGGAATAGGGGCCCAGTGTTTGCTGATCTAGTCAGTGCCAAGAGAAATCAGAAATCAAGATTTTTTTTTTTTTTTTTTTGAGATGGAGTCTTGCTCTGTCGCCCAGGCTAGAGTGCAAGGTGTGATCTCGGCTCACTGCAACCTCCACCTCCTGGGTTCAAGCGATTCTCCTGCCTCAGCCTCCAAAGTGGCTGGGATTACAGGCCTACGCCACCATGCCCAGCTAATTTTTCCCTTTGTAGTAAAGATGGGGTTTCACCATATTGGTCAGGCTGGTCTGAAACTCCTGACTTCGTGATCTGCCCACCTTGGCCTCCCAAAATGCTGGGATTACAGGTGTGAACCACTGTGCCTGGCCTTGGAAAGGTTATTTAAATACAAATTTCATAACAAGGATCTGAACTGTAATGATTGACAGTAAGTGCGTTTTGGTGGAAGGAAATTGGCTCTGTAAAAAGTGATGTGGGCGGTGGAGGAGAGCTAGATGCCCCAATTCCAAAAGACCATAATGGGGCGACTTGATGGGCTTGGTATCAAGGGGTAGTCCAGGTACCGCACAGCTTTTGAGAATCCAGGAGCTGAAAGTAGGCTTGCAGTTCTGGGGCAGGTGGTGGTTGGGGTTTGTGCACAGGCAAGGTAGTCACCAGGACTTGGGGAAGGGCTTTCTAAGAATTGTGTGGGCCGGCACAGGGCCCAGTAGCTCACACCTGTAATCCCAGCACTTTGGGAGGCTGAGGTGGGCGGATCACCAGAGGTCAGGAGTTTGAAAGCAGCCTGGCCATCATGGTGAAACCCTGTCTCTACTAAAATACAAAAATAAGCCCAGCGTGGTGTTGCATGCCTATAGTTCTAGCTACTTGGGAGGCTAAGGCAGGAGAATTGCTTGAAGCTGGGAGGTGGAGGTTGCAGTGAGCTGAGTTTGTGCCACTGCACTCCAGCCTGGGCAACAAGCAAGGCTGTCTCCAAAAAAAATAAAATAAAAATAATTGTGTGGGCTGGGCACAGTGACTCACCCCTGTAAGTCCAGCACTTTGGGAGTCTGAGGTGGGAGGATTGCTTGAATTCAGGAGTTCAAGACGAGCCTGGGCAACGTAGCAAAATCTCATCTCTACAAAAAATACAAAAATTAGCTGGGCGTGGTGCATGCATATAGTTCTAGCTACTTGGGAGGCTGAGGTGGAGCACTTGAGCCCAGAAGGTTGAGGAGGTAGTGAGCTGTAATTGTGCCACTGCACTCCAGGATGGGCAACAGAGCAAGACCCTGTCTCTAAAAAAAGAAAAATGTGTGAAGATTTTACGCTTGGGCTTGACCAAGTGCAACAAGCAGCCATTTCACATCCTGGCAATGGGAAATGGGGTTTCTTTCTTTTTTTTTTTTTTTTTTTTTTTTTTTTTTTT